CCGCCAGGCCTTGGAGCAGGGGCCGACTCTTCCTAGGCCCCCCAACCAGCAGGGCGTGACCCCGATCACCCTAGAAGCCGCTTGCTGAGAGCCCAGTAATCTGCCCTTGCTGAGAATGGATCTCCCGATACTGGGATTTGCCCTTGTCCCCCTGCCTTGCACCGCGTCATTAGCTGCCCTTTAGCGCTCAAGGGGATGAGTGCGGCGAGTCTGTCCCAGTTATGAGGCATATTGGGAAGAAGGGCTCTGAATAAACATTGTTGCATTAGCATTATGGTTACTTTATGGTTGACACCTTGATTGTTTCTGGATACGAGAGCAGGAACTGGCCTCGCACCTTTCTTGGTGGAAGGTTGTTTCAGGGCTGCTTGTAAAACATGGTAATTTTACTGTGACTGGGTTGTTCTTTTGCAGGTGGCTTTGCCGTCTCTTTCCCCTACAATGCAGATGGGGACTATCGCTCGGTGGGAGAAGAAGGAAGGGGAAAAGATCAGCGAGGGAGATCTGATTGCAGAGGTACTGTGGAGAGGTTACTCGCGACCAGGAGGACCAGTTATGGGACACCAAGCAGTGTTCCCTGTAAGCTGTGCGCTTGTGCAGCTGCTCAGGAGAGATTCCAGTACCTCCCAGCTGATTAGCAGAGTGCCCACAATTAGGTTTTTTGTTTCTACTGGTGGTGCACATTTCCACATATCATGGTGTGCATAAACTTTATTCCACATATTGATGGAAAAATTCCGCACGTGGATGGAAAAGCTTAAAGGGAACATTGGCACCAAGGGACAGTTCTTGTGGATGAGATCTCCCTTAGGGCCTCTCACTTTCTGGTGGGATGGGAAGCTACACCATCACTAGAGGACAAGACACGCTATCATTTCTAAAATTGCCCCCATACTAAGTACATGCCCCGGATTTTGTCTCAGGTCACCCCAAGCAGACGTAAATGTTCTGACTTCATCCTTACTTCTTATCTCTGATTCAGCATTGTAAGTTTGGCTCCCACCTCTCATCAGCCCATAATGCCAGTTTCTAGTAGCCAATTGTTAAATTTTTAAACAAGCACCTTATATAAAACAAGTTATACGCATACAAAACCCAAAGAGAGTCCTCACCCCAGACACCTGTGTTGGGAAAGGAAGGACTCTCTAGGTTTTTTTATATATATATGGCACCTGGCACAGTGGGGTTTTGATCAATGTCTGGGGCACCTAGGTACAATGAAATACAAATAATAAAAATATTCTTCTGAAGCCTTTTTATTGAAGGAATTAAAAACAGCCACAACCCCACTGCCTCTCCGCGTTGCCTGCTGTTTCTACCTCCTTATGAGAGCGATTGAACCTTATTTGCTCTACAGTGTCTTTTCCTTTTCAACCAAGTTGCTGCTGCCAGATGAGCTAATTCTCACCATGGCTTTATGCACCAGGAATCTTCACCTCTAACCCACAAACATCAAACTTCATGATTCTGAGCTGATGTGAAGGCTCCCCCCGCCCCTGCCCCATTACAAGATCATTCTCTTTCTGCAAAGGTGGAAACGGACAAAGCGACGGTGGGGTTTGAGAGTATGGAAGAATGTTACTTGGCCAAGATCCTGGTATCAGAAGGGACAAGGGATGTTCCCATTGGGTCTGTAATATGCATCACAGTTGAAAAGTAAGTGGATTGATCACATCTCACTAGAATACTGTTTTGGGAACCTGGCAGGCTGGGTGCTCTTGATGAAGAATTTTTTTCTGTATTATCTTCTTTCATTCCTGTTCTAGGCCTGAGTTTATTGATGCCTTTAAGAATTTTACCTTGGATTCCATAGCATCTGCTGTCCCAGCAGCCTCAGTGCCTCCCCCTCCAGCAGCAGCTCCCCCAACACCAGCTCAGCCTTCTGTGCAGGCTCCAGGAAGCTCTTACCCTCCTCACATGCAGGTAAAGCATATCCATATCCTCAGTGAATTATTCCTTAACATTTGTCGGTGTCTCTTCTGCCTCTCTAAAACTGTTATATCCTAGGCACTGTGATGTGGATACAAAGCATAGGTCTCACTGGCTCTAGCTGCAGGAGTGTGGGTCAGTTGATCTATTCTGCAGATTTAAAATGGGCTTCAGTGGGGGGACCCTGATCTGTTATATTTTGAAAACTTATAGGGCATCTGGTATCATCTGAGGAAAGTCATTTGCTCCCCCTGGGATTCCAATTCCCACAGGCTATAAAAAGCTCCCATGTGCACATAATTCTCTCCTTATTAGGAGGCAATGATATTGACTGGTTAAATGTGGCTAGCAGAGGGCCTAACGACATAGATGTGGAGCAAGGCATGAAGGCACCCAACAAGCCACATGAAGCCACGCTCTGTCTCTGGCCCAGTGACTGTTCTCCTGAGGATAAATACCTAGTCATTGGACTAGAATGGGAGAGAGAATAATTATGTAATCCAGTGCTTAGGACACGCCCCGGGAGAGGGGAGACCCTGGGTGCAATCTCCCTGCTCCAGCTACACGTTCATTATTGATCCACAATGGAACAACTTCAGAGGAGAGAATGAGGGAGCCCCACATCAGAATATCCCATTGCTCAGTGTTTTGAGTGTGCTCTGGAGAGGTGGGAGATCCCTGTTCTAACCCTTTCTCACCCTCTTAATTAGAGTGGGAGGGTGACAGGGTTGATTCCCCACTCTGGTACAATGAATGCAGAAGTGGGGACCCACAAAAATACCCCAAAACCTTCTCTTTCCAGGCTTGGATATAAAACTTCCCCCCCAAAATCCCAAAAACCTAGATTTTGGGGATAAAAATCCGCTGCCACCACCCAAGTAATGGTAAGAAAACCAGGGAAGAGATCACTTGGGAAATCTCAGCCCTGAAGTAAAACCAGGACACACAAATTAACTAATACCAGCTTAATAAAAAAGAAAGAACTTTTATTATCACCCACAATACTCCTGTTACAAGCATAGTTGGATTGACTAGATGATAAGAGCCACCAATTAATAAACTCATGGGGAATTTTCCCATGGGAACAAAACTTAGTTACAGAGGAGGGGAAAACCCATTTCTAAGAGCACAGACATCAAATTCCCATTCCCAAACCATAAAACAATAAAATCTAATGGATTTATCTAAACTTTACCCTACTTACAGATAGTGAAGAGTCTTTTCTTGGAAAGAGACATGTTGTCTGTCCCCCTCAGTATCAGGAGAGTCTACTGCTTAAAGACAAAGGAGGGAAAAACCAAAAATTCCTTTGTCTCAGTTTGAAATCCCTATCTGCATTTCTATTGGCTGACTGCTGCCTGGCTAGATACAGTTAACTCCTGAATCCCCAGGCTGCTGGCCATCCCTCATGATCATGACAGAGGGTGAGGATTGAACTTTGATCTCCCACGTCCTAGGGGAACACTCAGTTGCTGGGCTGAAAGTTATAAGGTGTGGGGCCCCACCACCACCTCATCCTCCAGATGTTTCTGTGTGGAATGAGACAGGCGCTGAACTCATTCCCATAAGAATGGCTGGTTCCCCTTCACGGTCACTAGCTGAGATAGGTGCTTCCCTGCAGCCTGCGCACAAGTGCTTATCTGTATGAGAGAGGCACACTCCCCTGTTGTTGGCATTGGCTGGTAGGGATGTTAAAATGGTTAACTGGTCAAATTCTGGGGCTGATCTGGCCTGGCATGGCTGGCCACCATCGGAGTTCACTGGCAAGGGCCGATTTACCTCTGATTACCAGATAATTATTTAACATCCCTACTGACTGGTTTACGTTGTTCTCAGTCTAGTGTGCTGGCTTTTGCGGATAACTTTCTAAATGGCATTTCTTCCCATTCATTGTTTAGGAAGTCTAGGCCTCTAACTTTGGTTTGTGGCTTGCTGAAATCATGTGATTTCTGTAGGCCACTAAACGTTACAAAAGGGATTTAGGAGTTTCATTACACCGTCTGTTACTCTGCTGGGTCCCAGTTATGTGGGAGGGATGATGTTTACCAGTTAACCATTCACATCCCTAGTAAGGATGTTAAATTGCGGTTAATTGACTAGTCGAGTAGTCAATAGAATTTCCATTGACTAGTCGATAGGCACTTCCGCATTCCTCCTTGTGCAGCCTGGGGCCAGGAGAAAGTCCACTGACTCCAGGCTGCACACGGCGTGCCAGCTTTGAAATGTAAAAGAATCCCCGTGGCGGCATTTCAAAGGGGCGCTGTAGAGCCCGAGGTCAGCTGCAGAATCCCCAGCTGATCCCGGGCTCCCCGTGGCATTTCAGCGGAACCCGGACTCAGCTGGGGACTGACCCCAGGTTCTGTGGAAATGCTGGGGAGCCTGGGATCAGCTGGGGACTCCTCACTGATCTTGGGCTCCACAGCGCTCCTTTGAAATGCCGCCTCAGTGTTTGAAAGGGGCAGCGACACACAGCTGAGCTGGGGATCAGCTGTGTGGTGCTCCTCTTTGAACACAGCCTCGGCATGTCAAAGGGGCAACCTCGCACATCTGAGCCCAGGCTTGGCTCTGCAGAGCTGCCCCTTTGAAATACTCCACCACACACACACACATCTCTTCGCTGCTTCTGTCGGCGGGGGAGGAAAGTAACTAGTCGACTCGTCCTTGACATCCTTAATCCCTAGCTCATTCTCAAGGGTAACTTGCTTGTTGGGGTTACATGCTCCTGTTGACTTTCAGTTGTCTGTTGTGATACACTCGCATTCTTTTGACTCCGTAGATTCTTCTCCCGGCTCTCTCGCCTACAATGACGATGGGTACGGTTCAAAGGTGGGAGAAGAAGGTTGGTGAGAAACTGAGTGAAGGAGACTTACTGGCAGAAATTGAAACAGACAAAGCCACGATAGGTGAGCAATTTTTAGCCCTAAGAGGGACAGTAGATTGTTCTGTAACCTCTTGAGAGTGATTCATAGTAGAGCTTCAAAACAGACTCTTTTCCCACTGGAAGGGGCAGCTGGCCTTGGTGTAATGTAAAAGGAGCTATTTAAAGCTATTTCTTGTCCTCTTGTAGTTCTAGTTGATAGAGCTGTTAAAAGCAGCTCCCAGCTTTGCACCAATCCTGTTGTGTTAGACCTGCCTTACGTGGAGACTTCTCCTCGTTCAGTTTTGTTTTAAAGATCCATTACAAATAGCAGGAGTTTAGTTACTGGAGGAGACTGAAAGCATCACCTAGAACTCTTCATTGTGCCACTGTGGTAAGGTTGTGAGGCCCCAATTCCAGCTTTTTCTGGCTGTTTGATCTTCCCCAGCATTCATCAGTCATTTTTTTTTTCTTTTAAGGCTTTGAAGTGCAGGAAGAAGGTTACCTGGCAAAAATTCTGGTTTCTGAAGGAACAAGGGATGTGCCCTTAGGAACGGCACTCTGCATCATTGTGGAGAAGGAGTCTGATATTCCAGCATTTGCTGACTATAGGGAGACTGGAGTAGCTGACATCAAACCACAAGCACCACCCCCCACTCCGGTAAAGAGGATCTCTGAGAGGGAAGAGAAGTAGGGAACCATTAGCATAATCTGACCTGAATAATCCTGCTGGACTTTTGAAGATGGAACTCCAATCCACGTGTTTGTGGGATCATGAGTGGAAGGATAACATGAGATGGATACAATATGTCAGTCTATCTTCTGGGAACTGATGGAGCTGCTCTAGTTTTAAACACCCCAAATGATGAGGATGTAAATTACTTACTGCCCCTTCCTCTGGGAGATGATTCCACAGCCCAATGAGTTGTACACCCGAAAAGCTTTCTGATAGAAGACAGTATGAGAAAATGTAATCTGTACCTTCCTAAATAATAATTCTTCCTTATCCTTGTAGTGTTCCCCACCTCTGATTCTGGCCACCGTTTTGCTGCTCTAGCTCTTACTCTCTTCCTTAATCTCCTAAATCAGCCCCTCCAGCCCTGATCACTTTTATTGCTCATTTATGAACATTCTCTGGTTGGTTTCTGGTAACCAGAGGCCCACGTTCTCTTTGCTTTCTCACGTGTAAGACTTTAGCTGAATATCTGTGCAACTAACGACTGTGTCTAACCAACTCTCTTAAGGTGGCAGCTCCTCCTCCCCAGCCCACTGTCCCTTCAGCTCCAGCAGTCTCCCCACCTGGGGCTCCTGTACATAAAGGAAGAATAATAATTAGCCCCGTGGCGAAGAAATTGGCAGCAGAAAGAGGAATCGACATTGCACAAGTGAAAGGTGAATTACCATTTCCGTTCTTATCCAAGTCTCTTTTGCCCTTAGATGTGTGCTTAGCTGTCAATTTCCTTCCAGTTAAGTGACTGTATTGGAAAGGGAGCGGGTTCCATTTTTATTTGCATGTTCCTAATATGGCATTGCATAAAAACCTCTTATGTTTCATGTATACCTCCACCAGGTACTGGACCAGATGGCAGAATCACGAAGAAAGATATTGAGTCATTTGTGCCTCCAAAGGTTGCCCCTGTGAGTAGGACTCAAATCTGTGAGCTCTGGTACTACTATTACAACAAGGGTATGGAGCAGCTTCTGCTCTTGGGAAGCAGCCGGAGACTAAGGATGTTAAATATCGACTATTTGATTAGTCGATAGGGCGATTCCTCTTCTGAAGTGTAGCAACAACTGTTGCTACACTTTAAAGGCGAAAGTGCTGGGTGGAGCCCCGGATCAGCGGGGGACTCCAGCTTATCTTGGGCTCCACACAGCGCTGCCGCTTTGAAATGCTGCAGGGAGCCTGAGGCTGGGCTCCCCGTGGTGTTTCAAGGCAGTAGCGCCACACGGAGCCCTGGGTCAGCAGGGGACTCCCCAGCTGATCCTGGGCTCCATGCAGCGCTGCTGCTTTGAAACGCCACGTGCAGCCTAGTTACACCCCAACAGCAAGAGGGGGAGAGGGGAAACGACTAGTCAACTAGCATGTCGACTCTCCGATAAGCATTTGCTTATCAAATAGTTGACTAGTTCTTCACATCCCTACTGGAGACTGCAACCAGATGGCATAGTACAATAATTCTGAAGACTGACGATTATGCTGGTGATTGGACAGTGTGAAATGTATCTGAAAGCGCTTGGGAGTCAGCATATGTAGGACTTTCAGAAATAGGAGATGAGAGATTCTTTTTTTAATTTCTCACTGTGGCATTTCACTGTAGAAGCACATCCTGCCTCTGCAGGTGTTTATATGGTTTCCATTACCATATAACTGAGCAGCTAATGGTGTGGTGGAGCTTTGAGGAATGCAGCTTAATGAGGGGAAAATCAAAAGGAAATCCATTATTAAAAACATCCTTACGTTCCCATCATTGTTTGATGGGGTTCTGCTTTGTAGCTGTCACCTTGTAGGCTGGTATCTATCGCTAATACTTATTACCAGTCCTTACTTCGAATATAGAACACAGTAGCTACAGATATCCATATCGTGTGTTTCATAGAACCACCAGTGCCACATTCAGGGAACTGAGTATTACCAAGGCTTTAACATTTAAGCTTGTGAATCACTTCAAGTGAATTGAAGAAAAATGGGTAGGAAGCTATAGGAAGGGAGCTGATTGAAGAAGGGGACCCAGAAACAGGGAGAGTAGCCATGTCTTAGCTGTTTTCTACCACCGCTTTGTTCTCTGGAGTTATCCCATAGTTTGTCTGTGTACTGCTGATTTCTAGTTGCCTACGCACCCACACTCACGTTTGAACAATGATTGAAAACCCAGCTCTCTGTGTCTCTCTTTGCATACAGGCTGAGGCAACTCCTGTGCCACCTGCAGTTCCAGCAGCACCTCCTACAGGCGTCTTCACAGATGTCCCCGTTAGTAATATTCGGAGGGTAAGAGGCTTTCTTTCTTCCTCTTCCTTTAAAGAGGAGGTTGTATCTATACATAGGAGTCTTTCCGGAAACATTTAATTGCTGTTAACCAAGGTGCCTTTTAACCAAGCAGGCCAGCTGGTCACTGAAGGGTAGTGAACTTGGTGGAAGAACTTGTTCTTGAGAACAAGCGGTTTAATAGTGCTGTCTTGAGCCAGGCATAGGACTGGCAGGGGTTGTCAAGCATCCCCCAGGCTGCTTTGCTGATGCACCTCCATTCTGAATTGCGAGGCCTTCCCTGTTCACAGCTTTGTCAGTACACCTCAACTCTAATCTGCAGCAGTTTGCATCTCAAGCAGAGGTGGACAGACCATGTGTCGGTGGTTGATGAACCCAAAGAAGATCAAGTAACCAATAAGATGAACCCAAAGAAGGGGACAAGGAAGAGCTCCTCCCATATCTTGAGAAATGGAAGCAAAATCCCCCTTTCTTTTTTAGCACCATTAGTGATTTATGATAGAGTGCTGTGTCTTGAGGTTTGTAACGGACAACCATTCTTATTGGCCACATATGTCTTGAGGTTTGCTTGTAACGGACAACCATTCTTATTGGCCACATCTCTCTCTTCTGGTGTAATGAGCTTCACTTGAAGGTGAGAGTGTGTTCTTGAGGCGGTGCCTTTTATATATAGCACCTGCTTTATCACTTTTATAAATAACGTTCCTGGCCTCATGTACAATCTTTCTCTAAAATATAAATAACAGATGGGACCCATGTCCACAAAACTAAGCTTTTGTGCTTTCCAAGTCACCATAACTTAAACTTTTCTCTGTCCCAATGCGTCCAATAGCTTAGGAGAATCAGTGACAGTAGGAGTATAAATTATAGCTTTAAAATCCATATATTTGTCTTCTGGCTATTGTCTGCTTCTCAGCAATGCCAAGGACTACTGGACATGGGATGCTAAATCTTGGTTAATTGAATAGACGAGTAACCTCATGAATTCTTATTGGTTACTTGACTATGCTATAGTTCCTAAGGGCAGGGCCCTCAGCCAGGGCACTCCAGCCCCACTCCTGAAGAGCCCCCTGCCATTCCATGCTGCTGCCTCTGATACAGAGGCAGCATTGCAAGGTGCCCGGTGGAAGCTGGTCCATGAGGAGAGCCAATTTAAAAACCAGCTCCCCTCATGGACTGGCTGCCTGTTGCCCCATGCTGCTGCCTCTGATAAAGGGGTGGCACTAGCCCCTCTCCGGGAGGGGAGTCTGAGCTTCTGGACTTGGTGTGAGCCAGAACTGAGCCAGGCTGCTGGCCAGTCTGCTAAAAAATGTACTGGGTGGGGGTGGGGAGAGGAAATTCATGTAGTCTGTAGCATTAGCCTATAAGGTTTTTTTTTCTTATTGGTTAATCTGTTAATTGACTACACTGTTACATGCCTATACTGGACCAAACCTAGTTGCGCTATAACGTGTACGTCTATGACAGCAAAGGTGTATTCTCAACCCTACTTTTAACGTGGTGGAAACCCGTTTTGCAAATTGTGTTGTTTTAATGTCCTGCTCTGTTTGCCTTCAGGTTATCGCTCAGCGTTTGATGCAGTCTAAACAAACAATACCTCACTACTATCTGTCAATTGATATAAACATGGGAGAAATACTGGTGCTCAGAAAAGAACTCAATAAGGTAACACTCCTGAGGAGTTGCGGTGTGGGTCTGAGAGGGCAGGTAGATAACCAGGATGGTGAGCCAGCTAGGCTTTGGAATAGGTACCTTCACATCAATTTGCTGCTTCCCAGTCACATCTGGACCCTCTTGTGACAGACTGTAGCGAAGTTGTCTTCATCCAAACACTGCCCTTTGCATGCTCAATTCCCCAACCTGATCACCTGAAATTCAAATCAAGCTTCACAGCTTTCTTGGACTGTTATTGCCTCAGCTAGAAAATAAGATAAAGAGTAGGACCAGACCATAAATGAGAGGCTGCTGCTGAGCAGAGTTTTTCCTTTATGGGAAATTAAGATTACACAACTGAATGCTGCTTCTCAACCTCGGGGGTGGAGAGGATGCAAATGTTACATGGGCTTAAGATACTTTCTGTCTTCTTAGATATGTGCCATATTGACTCGATAGGGTCACGCAGTAAATGTCACAGGCCATGTAGTCTCGTGTTTATGCAAACGAATTCAGTTTTTGTGGCGACTAAGGAGAGAGTAAATCACTGATGTTTCAAACCTCTGTCTTCTCTTTACAGGAGGTGTCAGAGAACATTAAGCTTTCTGTCAATGACTTCATCATTAAAGCTTCAGCTCTGGCATGTATGAAGGTTCCTGAAGCAAATTCGTCCTGGTTGGACACTGTTATCCGGCAGTAAGTGTGTGGTGCAAATGTAGCTAGTAACTTTATTCGGTATGGTGTGAAGAGCAAAATGGAACAATTCTCCCCCGGTTCTGGGAGGATCTCATAGAAGAGGGAAAGAACGGTGCAGTATAAAACTCAGTACTTCATATACCTTTTCTTCAAGTTTCTTTGTGAGCGAGGCCTGGTCACTAGACTTAATGGACGTGGCAGTAATCGGTTATCTATACAAGGTGGCTTTAATGCTTTTGAAAATCTTTCTTTGTGTCTTGCTCAAGTAATCTGGGTTGTGTCCCCGTTGTGTCTTACAGAAATCACGTTGTGGATGTTAGCATTGCAGTGAGTACTCCTGTGGGGCTCATAACTCCCATCGTGTTCAATGCGCACATAAAGGGATTAGCTTCTATTAGTAAAGACGTTGCCTCTTTGGCAACCAAAGCACGAGAAGGGAAACTCCAGCCCCACGAATTCCAGGTGAGGAGCTTGGTGCATTAGTAAACACTGCAACTGTGATTGTCCCTGGCTTAAAAAAAATGTGAATATTGAAATGACCTCCTTCGGAACAGGCACTTTCAGGTTTATGACCTAGTTTAGCCATGTTAAGTAACTTGCTGTGTGGACTGACATTTGTGAAGTTCCATATGTTAATCTGTGTTTGTTTCCTCTAGGGAGGCACTTTTACAGTTTCCAATTTAGGAATGTATGGGATTAAGAATTTCTCTGCCATAATCAACCCACCTCAGGCCTGTATTCTGGCAGTTGGTACTTCAGAGAACCGACTGGTGCCAGCAAATAATGAGAAGGGGTAAGTATTAAATAGAGCATTCTCCATAATCAATTAACTCTTCAAACAGCTGCCATTTACTTTAGAATAGTGACTTTGTCCATAAAAGGCTATTAGCCAGGGGATAAAATGGTGTCCTTGGCCTCTGTTTGTCAGAGGCTGGAGAGGGATGGCAGGAGACAAATCGCTTGATCATTGTCTTCGGTCCACCCTCTCTGGGGCACCTGGTGTTGGCCACTGTCGGTAGACAGGATACTGGGCTAGATGGACCTTTGGTCTGACCCAGTACGGCCGTTCTTATGTTCTTATGTTAATTTCCCCATCAGATTTTGCAGTATTGCACAGTGCCACTGAGCAATGCAGTAGTGTGCACGGTTAACCAATGAGCCTGGTCAGAGGCAGCAGGCGGGAGGGGAGAGCAATGGCAGGTGGAAGCCGGTGCAATGCAGGGAGGCAGGCGGGAGTCTGTACTCTTATTGCCATATGCGACCATATTTCAATTGCTCACGTATTTCTTGGCACAGTGTCCTTATGAGATAGGGAAGTCCTATTATCTGAGGCACAAAGAGTAAATATTTTGCACGGGAAATGTGTGGCAGAGGAGAGCATTGATCCTTTGTCTCCTAAATCCCAGACTCGTGCTTTTCTTCTCAGACCATATTTTTTTTGGTGAATTTTAATAGGTACAGTGCAGACTTTTGAATCTGGTGAGCAAATGAATAATATGTTGTATAGATAAAAGGTAATTTTATTGTCTGAAAACTCACCCTGAGGTAGCCAGGCCTAGAGTGTGACTGAACATAGATGTACAGTGAAGTTTTATCATGAACATATTTGCATTTTATTAAATAACATGAGCTGCATGTCTCAAAAGGATCACTTAATTTTAGAAAATGAAGGATGTCGATCTTTATAATAAGCGTTTGTGGAGATATAAATGTTTGTAGATCTGACTATTACAGGACTAGCACCCGTTGGTGTTTATCGTATATAAAAGTCCTAGGTGGCTAATATCACTGACTGACAAATTTGTGCCAGTTAATTTGCAGAGTTGTAAATATGGCATTCTGTTTCTCTTCCCAGGTTTGATGTGGCCAGCATGATGTCAGTTACTCTTAGTTGTGACCATCGAGTTGTGGATGGAGCAGTTGGAGCCCAGTGGCTTGCTGAGTTCAAAAAGCTCCTTGAAAAACCAGCAACCATGCTGCTATAATCGAACCAAGCAACCAAGACTTTCCTGAGTTACATTATTTTGTTCTAATCAAGCTATTTATATTTCGGTGGTTAGACTCTGTTAAAAAACATCTTCCTTTATTTTAAATATGTATATTAGCTGGTAATTTTTACCAGTCTGTACAGATAAATAGTTTGAAGAAGGCTTTACAGAGCAATATACAGTTATACTGTATTTTATACAGTTAATGAATTTGCCAACGTTTCTAAAAAAAGAAGTCAAGTGTCTTGAATTTCAAATCATGTGAGCATTGTATGCTTCATATGTACTTCATGTGTGCTCCAGATTGGGGGTGGGAGTGGGTGTTAGGTGAGGAAGAAGTATACCAAGATATCTAATCTCTTGTATTCTCCAAAATAAGAGAATCAAACTGTAAACATCTGTGTTAAATAACTGGGAAGGTTTGGTAGTTGAAATCAATAAGCTAGGTTGTTGGGTTTTTTTAAATTGAACCCTAAGTGGTCTGGTCTCCTGCTAGTATTAGTGAGAGCAACAGGCACACATTGAGAGGAGGAATAGATCCCTTGGAATACTTTTTTCATAGGACAAAAGATTTACATTGGAATTCCTCCTTGTATTTCAACATTAGCTTAGATTTTTACTACTAAATGATCCCTGTCAAAACAGTACAATCAAATCTCTTCTGAATGCCACAGAGAATGTGCTCCATCTTTCACTTGTGTGTGTTTTTGTATGAAATTATCTTACATGGTTGCTTGCCCTCTTGCAACAGGGTGTATTGTTAACACTGCAGTGGAAATAGTTGTTCTGCAGAATGGTTAGGAGAATTTCTTGCTATGTGTGTTAATATCCACTGTTAGCATGTGTAATTTGGACATTGGAATTCTATCCCTGGGCATAATTTCTTTGATGACGTGTATGCTTGAAAATTGTTTTTTCAGACATTCTTGACACAGGAAGCTCTGACGTCAGTTGAGGTCATTGATATCACAATTCTTGGATGAAATGTATTTACTGTCCCAGCCTTAGTAAACTGCAAAGTGTGCTGTCCATGTATATAGTGTATGTAAAATGCTTTCAGATGTTTTCTGTTGGACTTGTGCCCAAATGCATTAATCATTGTGTCCTACAATGGTGATGGGGAAGAATACAACGGTGGCCTCTCTTAAAATTCCACTTTCCAATAGGAAATTTTAATTTATAAAAAAGGATCATGTAATTGATCAGTGACCAGGAGAGCTTGGTAGAAACAAAAGGTTAAATTATTTACATAAACTTATTCTGTACCTTATGCATTGCATTAAATATATTCTCTTGTAAAGTTGTTACAGAATTCACTAAAGATAATGAAAAAATATACTGTGGAGATTAAATATTTTTGTGAGAACTATTTAACGTTTTACTCGGTTGCAGATGTGCCTAACTTTGGTTGGGTAAGAAGAAAAGTAGTTGCACTTCAGTTTTAAAATGTTCTCATTTTCTCCAGTTCAGATTCTCTAGTGGGCCCATTGTTCTATTAAATCTTTGGAATTGTTAGACTAATAAAAATAGTCCCTATGCTTTGTCTGTTTAGTAATGGTTGCTGCTGACCTCACTGCTAGTGCACAGTCGATCCAAGTCTTCAGCCCTTCTGGCTGGGTAAATGAAACTTATTGTATTAAGTTTCCCGCCATAAGTGGTTCAGCAACCTGTTTGTGAAAGCACTGTCATGCAGCACTGGACTTGGATGAAATGTGTTTTTGACTCTACTGCTGAACTGCATACTGCTCCCCTATTCTTAGAATTTTGGTCAAAGAAAATCCTGGATACTTGTTATCCCTTCCCCATAATAATCTGAAAATTAATCAAAACAAGAACTAGCTTGTGCCAAAGGACCACTGTCCTAGTGACAGCCTGATGGGAACAGATTGCAGTACAGCTCTGTGTATACTCTTGGCTTTGTGTTGCTTGCAGTACCCTGTTGCTCACTAGACACTCCAACTATGGCAGCTCATGTACATTAACACTATTTCAATTTGACTTACACCTAGAAAAGTGCATCTTTAGATGCAATCCTTGTAACAGTTTCAGTACAAAACGGGAGGGAAATTAAGAATGGCTGCTCATGAGTAAATGTGTCTGTTAAAATTAAATACAATTCACATTTCTAATGTGTCTGTTCTATTTTCTGGTGTATTTTTAAACATTCTTCTGTTATATTATATGTTGCATGGGACAAGGTTATCTCCATCTGCATTGGCATGTTTTCTTCATGAATGCTGGCTGGCACCAGGCATAGAGAATGTGGGGAGAGTATAGTAGTCAAAACTCTTGGTAGATACTTTTTATTCATAGGTTCTTGGACCTTAATATTCATTATGTAAGCAGTCTTGAATTGGCAGACTAGTTCTAGGGCACTACTGTAATGTTGCCCAATTCTGCTGAAATTGCAAAACCATTGCTAACTGGTGAGTAAGGCTAGCTCTTGGTGCACAGCTGCCCATAGTAGTATCTGTAGAGGACCCAGTGTTTAAATGGGCATTGTAGACTATTTGCCTCACCTTTTAAAGGTAACCCTTGCAGATCTATTTGAAAAAAAGGAGCCAGGTTGTGAGAGAGCTTGCAGTGTTACATGTCATGCATCCTCAGTGTCACCACCATTAAATCCTCTTTATTTAAAAGGAAACAGTTTACAAACAGCAGATAAGATTTTTTTTTTACCAGAGTAAAGGCAGAAAGGAAAAACAGTTTTTTCAAAGTTAATCACACTTTATTGCTTTATTGATGGAGAAACTGAACATGGTAGTGAAGTTAGTAATATAGAATTGTGTGTAGAGAGAAAATTATTTAAGAAACCCATAAGTGCTTACAACTTGTATTAAGAATTTCTTCCTATTCTATATTTTCTATGTAAATTTCATCACCCTCTGTTCTCAAAGGAAACTGTGTGTGCACAGACAATAGAATGGATTCTTAAAATAGCACAGTGATACTGATATCTACGTATTGGTAACTTTTTTAACCATTAGTCTTTCTTGTAATCTTTAAGAGTGTCCCCATACCCACTAGTTTTTTGAGACCCTGCTGTTCCTGACATTTTCTTTAAGGAACTGGCATTGTGATAAGCAATACACCTTTCCCTTTGATAAATGTTGCTGTAGCTGCTTCTTCATCAACCAATTCTGGCAAATCCAGCTGTAATCTGTATTTCTTAGGGACTTCAACAATTACATCGTCCTAAAACATAAGCAAATTAAAATACTCAATGAGCAAGTATAACTGTGTTAGTTACAAGTGACTAAGTCTGTTTGGGGCTCAACAGAAAGGAAACAGGAGTTTTCATTCCCACAAAACTTACCTTTGAAATGCTCAGTTCACATTCAGAAACTGAGCTAACTTTAGGCAATTCAACTTTCAGTTCAATCTTTACAGGTTTCCTGTTTGCATCCTTTGCAATGGTCAGTTCGTAGGCTGGTGTGATTGGCTCCTCTGGCAGCTCCAAACTGGCTATCTCTTCTATCAGATGCACTTTAGACTGTGCAACATCCTTGTTCAGTAGAGGTGTAGCATTATTGCATTTCTCCTCTCGCAGGTTATGCAACATCTGGTCCAGGGTCAATTCTTACAGAAAAAATATTCGTACATGTAGTTACTAAAATATTTTATTAGAAAAAGATTAGCTGTAGATTTAAGTGATGATTTTATACTAGTTGGCAAAATATGCCAAACTTAAGTCTCAGCTTTATGATTATGAACTCAGCTGCTAAAGCTTGTTGCATACTAATTTCATGTCATTCCATGTTTCCACTTTTATTTGTAAGTAGGTACAAAATTGAAACTCAAGTTTCTGGTGTTCAGTACTTTACAATGACATCTCAGAAGCCTGATTCTACTGGGTTCAGACCTGCAAGATGCTCAGCATCTCACAGGAACAGGGCACAGGTCAGTTTCAATATTCTTTAGATTTCACGGAGGTAGCTATAATGCTATTTTCCACCCCTCATGTGGACAGGACTAGGAGTTTAGTCTTTCCCATTTCCATGACACCATCTCTTAACAGTAATTTTAAAAGACGTGCACGTACCATTCCTTGTGTTCTTTTTGAAAGTTAGATCTGGCAGGGGTCCTCCTTTCAGACTCTGTTTCATCCTTTTCAGGCTTCCTTTGAGTGTGAATGTAGCAATGTGGTAAGAGTGGGACAGAGAGAGAGTGTAACGCTCTTCAATGTATTTAAATGTCAGCTGGATCAAGTGATCCATATTTGCTTGGCTCTCTTGTCTCTGAAGAACAGTTGGGTTATATGCAATATCTATGAGGGAGTAAAGCTCTAAAAAAACAATGAGTATCAACAATTGTTATACTGCAACATTCTGTTTTACAGATGATAGACTAATACATCATCTACCATAGCTACAATGGGATATCCTCTAGTAAGAATCATTTTGATGCTTTTCGTGATTGTTTTGAAGAATTAGTAATACGAATGGTGAGTAGTGGAAAGGGATCTAGGGGTCATAGCGGACCACAAGTTGAATATGAGTCAACAGTGTGATGCTGTTGCAAAAAAAGCAAATATGATTCTAGGTTGTATCAACAGGTGTGTTGTAAGCAAAACTCGTGAAGTCATTCTGCCGCTCTACTCTGCACTAGTTAGGCCTCAGCTGGAGTACTGTGTCCAGTTCTGGGCACCACATTTCAAGAAAGATGTGGAGAAATTGGAAAGGGGACAGAGAAGAGCGACAAGAATGATTAAAGGCCTAGAGAACATGACCTATGAAGCCAGGCTTCATGAACTGGGCTTGTTTAGTTTGGGAAAATTTGTTCCTCTTGGGGACATGATAGCGGTTTTCAAATATCTAAAAGGGTGTCACAAGGAGGAAGGCGAAAATTTGTTCCTCTTGGTTTCTGAGGACAGGACAAGGAGTAATGGGCTTAAAGTGCAGCAGGGGAGGTTTAGATTGGACATTAGGAAAAAATTCCTAACTGTCAGGGTGGTCAATTGGGCCTGGCTTGAGGGGGGGGGGGGGGCTGGACTCGATGACCTCTCGAGGTCCCTTCCAGTCCTATGATTCTATGATATGTAGTTTCCTATGAGGAGCTGGTTCCAGAAAACTGACCTGTAGTAAATACTGCTCCCATCCAGCAGAGCACTTACGTATGTGTCTAAAGTTGAGCATGGGAGTCGTTTCCCTGAATTTAATGGAACCGGGCCTACTCATGTCCTTAATGATAGGTACATCGGCTATGGCCTCGATCCTGCAGGGCATTTTAGTGTTTGGTGTGATTTTCTGTTTTTTCAGAAGGAACAAATTTTTACTTACAATTCAGTCTATGCCTCCTCCACCTTTAATCTGTCAACTATATACCACATTATAAAAGGGCTGCTCTTTGCCAAACTTCTGTCTTTGCCTTCCCAATGCAATACTACAGCATGTACAAGAATATTTTGGAGCTCGTTATCTACTTGCCTGCTTTATCAGACACCTCTTCTAATGGGCCAGCACTTAAAGGTATTGGATCAGTAGGTGACTTAGGAGCTGGGACCCTTTTCCACCTGCAGAGGTTAATGAATAATGATTTTTCATTAGGCTCCTGCAAAGAGAACCCAAAATCACTTAATCACCACAAATGTTTATGTCCCCCTTATAACCAAAAAATGCAATGGAACCAAATGATTAACAAAGTAGTTATAGGCCATATCCAATGCCTTAACTACCTATATACTTCTTTGTTCAACTGTATATAAAACATGTAAATATGTGTTTCTCTGTGCCCACAGGGCTTTCAGAGTGAAGGAAAGATAAACTGAGGTGGAAAAAACATACACTAGTCTGTTACCATATACCAGGTGTGGCATAGGATTTAAATATAGTGTATGAACATTGATTTTAGGGACTCAAAAGGATATTTTTACCACACAACAGCAGTAGTACAGTCTTGTCACAATCTGTGCTATATGGGATATTCAATAACAAACCAGCACTGCTTTAGAGTATGATTCTAATCTATGACTGTGCCAGTGTAAATGGGGAGTAATTCCACTGCAGTCAATGGAGTTACAGTGCTGCAATAGTGCAAGAGGAGAATCAAGCTTCTAGTATCTAGGAGCTGGCTACTTTCATAGCACAGGTGGGGACAGCTGCCTCTCTAAATACAGTTGTATTGACTGCCCATAGGTGCCAGTATTGTGCTTATTGAACATACCCTAAATTTTCATGTTACATTATGGCTGTGTCTACACTGGCATGAATTTCCGGAACTGCTTAAAACGGAATACTATTCCGTTTTCAGTTTTTCCGGAAAAGGAGCGTCTACATTGGCAGGCTGCTTTTCCGGAAAAGCCCTTTTTCCGGAAAAGCGTCTGTGGCCAATGTAGACGCGCTTTTCTGGAAAAGAGCCCCGATCGCCATTTTTGCGATCAGGGCTTTTTTCCAGAAAAGACTACTGGGCTGTCTACACTGGCCCTTTTCCGGAACAGTGTTTCGGAATAAGGACTTATGCCCGAGCGGGAGCAGAATAGTTTTTCCGGAATAGCGGCTGATTTTGTACAGTAGAGCGTCATTGCTTTTCCGGAAATTCCAGGGCCAGTGTAGACAGCTCACAGCTTATTCCGGAAAAGCGGCTGATTTTCTGGAATAAGTGGCCCAGTGTAGACACAGCCTAAGTGATCTGCTATAATAATCAATACTGGCAGAATCTCAGACCTAGGAATCCAGCTTCCTAGGAATCCAGCTGGAATGCATTCTAGTTTATTACAGAACCTCAGCCCATAATGTATTTCTACCTTAATTATATGCGATTTTCACCAGGCTCTTACTTTTAACATGATCACTGCTTGGTTTAATTAGGACTAGCTCTGCATTTAGTACTAGAATTTATATCTGCATCTACTGCTCTTTCCAGCCACATGTAAACATGTTTTGCCGCAGATATATAGACCAGTTTGATAACTTGACACTGGCCATTGTTCAGTGCTTCTGTGGAACTATAAATCTTCCATAATGCACCTCTTTGCACCCTTTATGTTAAGCAAGTGCCTCACACTCTGAAGGACAAAGCATGAGAACCTTTATCATAGTTATCCTAACCAGTGGCATGGCAGAGGCTATTTTTACTTACAAAGTCTAATATTTTTTTTAGGCTGAATGATATCCTTATTCCTTCCTCCACTGGTGTGTCTCATTTGAGTCTCTAGCAGTGAACTCTGGTGCTCAGAAGGACCTTCAGCCACTCCTAAGGGTATTCAGATAGCTTGCAAGGGCTCCTGTGACACAGCTCAGCTATTAGTGGCTAGTCCAGGTACAACCATTGTTTCCCTGGCAGATGCAATCCTAGTGGAATCTCATAGCTCTCTTATAGTAAAAGCCCTTGAACCACGTACCAAGATGTGGGTCTGTAGACAAAGATGTGGTTCAGGGGGAGCACAATATTGCTTTGCATCCTCCAGCTGCTGCTGCATGAATCTGTGGTAACTCTCAGGAGTGCTTTCTGCCATTTCATCCAGCATGTTCCAGAACTGGGTCACTTGGGTCAGCATGTCTTCGGGGCAAGAAGGAGCAGTCATGATTAGCACAAATGTCCCTCAGGAAGCAGTACAGATGCTATTCTTCATGCCTATAGGTGAAAAAGGAGCATTAGGGGGAGTATCTGCTTTGAACTGCTGCCCTTCACAGGTCCTCGACTCCAAGAAAAAATCTATTTTAATATCAAGAAAAAAGATGGGATTTCTATCTGCCATTTGGTCTCCACCCCCTTTATCCACCCTGGAAATCATGCTCTTCCACCCCACCTGTCCCTCAGTGTCTCCCTATTACCCCTACCTTTACCCTCTTCCCTGCCCTTTGCCTTGACCTGCTAGATCCCAGGGCTGTGAACTGTCCCCACTCCCCACCATCCACCTACCCCTAGGTTCCAGTGCCTCATGCTGCCTCCAGCAACTCCCTGCCCCAAGCTGACCCTGGACT